CTGGAAGGAAAATGAATTGGCCAGTCGACATAGATTGTTAAAGTTCTGAATCTTCGTTGTTAAGTTGTTCGATTATCCGCTCAATTGATATGGATGTAAAAGATCCTGAATACCCTTCTGATTACGTATAACTTCTGAAAACTGTCCGAATAAGATATGATCCTGATAATTCACATTCTGAATAACTGATGATTCCGTCAGTTATTGAACTTTTTACAATAGCGATTCTAAATTCCGACATTCTACCTGTATATTGAAGATCCGTATTTCTCTACTTGCTAAGATTATCCAGTACCTTTGAATAATATTTGTAAACTCTGGTGTGTTCCCTAATTATATAATTATTTTATCTGATTTCTGACTTGAATTCTATTCTGATACATGACCTGAATTCTGTTCTGATTTCTAATCTGGATTCTGTTCTGATATCTGTTATGAATTCTGTTTTGATTTCTGATATCTCCGTTTAATGACGGAAAAATGTTTTAAATGGGGGGTATTGTTGAAGGAAGAATTTTCGCAGGTTCCTCGGCTTTGTGCTCAGGGCCTTATATGATGTGTTGGGTTGGGTGTATGGTTCTGGGGAACCTACACATTATGATGTGTTGGGATGGGGGTATATATATATATGTTTTAAAATGATCTGAAAAGTTACATGGTTTTTGGGAACACACTAGATAACCTATTCTGATCTCCTGAACTCAGTTATCTGAAATATTTCTCTGATGAAAGCTCATTGTCTGTTACCATTTGAAATATCAGTAGGATCTCTGCTCAGCATAAAAATCTGTAAATGTTCGGAAATAATAAGGATATGTATATTTATTTGTATTTGCACGTTCTTCAGCATCATCTGGTAGTTTTGTATTACTAAGCTTTCCAAAGCTCACTCTGTTACTCACCTTTTTAGGTTAAAGAATCGTATCAGTGCGGTTATCGACTTCAGTAAAGGAATTCATCTGGCGTTGTTTGCAGAGTACGGTACATGTGATTAGGGGGCATGTAATTGTATTTTGTTTTAAATAAGAGTCTAAAATCTATTTTATTTCTGAATACTGATAAATGATTTTATGAGTTTACATGTTCTGATAAAAAAGTTTTAAATTTTCCGCTATTTTTATAGTGGGTCGCTCCGGTGACCCAAATGTGACAATTCGGATCGGATCTGGTTACCCTTATCGGTCTATGGGGGTTACAATCATTATTTCAATTTCTATAATAATTTTAACATATTTTGTCGTTCCAAGCTCAATAGTATCGGTACTACTACCCTGTTACTGATACTTCTATACTACGGTATTGATACCCCTTTTCAGTATCGATACCATTTCTATATTCTGGGTTGCTTGGTATCGATACCGCGATACCGATACTCCCTTTCAGTATCGATACCATTTTTACATTCTGGATCCATGGTATCGATACTTGTCTTTATTAGTATCTATACCTTATTAGTATCAATACCCCTTGCTCCGGTACCGATAATGTTCTTCCCATTTTTACCTATTTACACCTATAGTATTGGTACTATTCTATCAGTACCGATACCATTGCCCATAATTACCATTTTTCAACTCGAATTTCACTTAATTTTCCCCTTTAATCTTATACTTTTACCTACAACAATACTATTTAACTCCTCTTTACTTAACCCAACTAACTTTACTTCATTTTGCTACCTTTAACATCTAACATCTTCATGGAACATCTCAACTCAAGAATCATACCATTTTTCTAAACATGTTTTTAATCATATCTCATGCTTCTAATCTCTTGTTCAATCCTTTGACAAGTAAATTTTTCTAATAAACCTCAGTAAAAACACATATATGAGCATGTCATTTAAGAACCCATTTCTTTAAATCTCCTATAAAACATCCATCACTTAGTTTTAATCCTCTTTAATCATTCTTTAAGTTCACATATCACTTAATGTTACCAAAGCAACCCATAATTTAAAGAAAGAACTAGCTAATGGAAGTTTACCTTATAACATAGAGGAGAGCACTACTCATGTGAAGGAGAAGAAAAAGAATAGAAATGCTTTACTTTCCTCTTTTCCCTTATTTAAAATCCCTAATAAGGATATATTTTTAAATTCATTTACCCTCTTAAAAGACCAAGTGCCATCTTAATTTATTTATTGATACAAATTAATCTAAACACTATTCTAAATCATTTTCTTATCTTTTACCCTTATTCAAATAAATCTTAAATTTTCAAATCTTTTCAATATATTCCCTGATCTGATATTTGAGGTATTACACAGTGGGGCAATCATACCAATGGACCAAGAAATGATGTCGTTATCTGGTAGCTTTCAACTTAATAATGTTGTAATAATATGATTGTGTCCCATGCAATGATTAACACATTAATATTCCTCAAATATTAATCACTTAACCAACATAACTAACTCTCATCAAATATATTAATTAAGTTGTCAATTAAAGAATAGAAATCGACAATACAAATCTCTTTGCATTAACATTACTCTCATAATAATCGATGATGTCATAAGTAGCATGCAATCTCAATATTTCTATCTCTAAAAATAACCAAGATTAAACACACATAAGTCTATTTTTATTTCTAAAAACAATTTCCAAGAAATCCCAACAACATAACCATATCATAAAAGCAAAATCAAATTGAAAAACTTTTCATCAAACATCTTGTGTTCAAATCCAAATAAAAACAGTAAATTTAAACATCCAAACTTATCAAATAGTATTTTCCCTTCTCAAGTAAGAACTACAAAACTCGATTGAATCCCGATCAATCGTCGCTGCTACACAGCATTGCTCACAGCTGCTACTACACTCCCCGGCGGTGGTTTTAAGTTTCCAGGGAATGTGGTAAAATAGAAAAATAAAAGGAGGTTGTGGAATAATTAGGGTTCCAAGAGTTGAAGAAAATGTTGTATTTATAACCTCATAGGGTCAAACTTTCCACCAATAGAAAAGTTCCCTTCTTTTCTAAATTTCCTTTTATTTAAAATTCAAATTCCATTCTTATCTTTAGCAACTAATTCAAATTCCACTATTATCTTCAACAGCTAATCAAATTCAAATTCCAGCCTTATCTTCAGCTGCTATACAGTCCTAAAATTTCTCTAACTGTCTGATGACACGTCAAATGCTACAACAATAACTCAACAATTTTGTCTCGTATCAGCTCACAGCAAACCTATAACATCATAGGAGCAAATTCATATCAAAATCAGCCAAAGTATCAACAATCTCTCCCAATATGCAAATGATGTAAAATATGCTAAAATTATTCTAAATGTGATCCTAAACATGCTAAAGTACAAACTTAACCTAAGTAAAAAAGCTCTAAATAATAACTCTTTTAGAGAGTTATCAGTGGCGATATTAGGCTCAACTTAAAGATAAGTTGCACTACTACGCCTCTAAGCTTATAAATTACGAAAACTCTCTTATTTACAACCTGGAAATAGCACTCGAATATGCCTAAGAAGCCATTTTACCTTGTTCTTGATGCACAAAATCATACTTTCTAACCATTTTAAAAGGGATTTTTAACCGCTTATAATGTATTGTATGTGGCGATATTAGGCTCAACTTAAAGATAAGTTGCAATACTATGCCTCTAAGCTTATAAATTAAGAAATTTTTGCAATTTACACCCCAGAAATAATAATCGAACATGCCTATAGATGCTTTACTGTTTCATTAAAATTCATGGTTCTTGCCTGCAGTACGCGAGGTCAATGAACTATATCTCGCGATATATATAATTTCTCGTTTAGAAAAACGTGGACCTCGCGTTTAGCAGAACACGAGGTCGTATATCCGAATTATTTATTCACTAACCAGGAAAGATCGCCCACGTAATGCAGAACGCATGCCCGAAAACACGTTATACATAACGCAAGACAGTCCGATATGGGCCATTTGGGGGTATTTTTCCAAATTATTGGTGGATGTCATTTTGCTAATAAATTATTTATTGGGAGTTTTTTTTATATAAAATCGTCGTTCCTTGATCTATCGGTACATCTTAATTGAACTTAAATGAATAGAAAATTAACTACAATTAGATTCATGAAGAATATAATAATTGAGATTTGAATTGCGATTAACACATTTAATTTGATAACAGAGGTGTTATTTGAAATTTTTCGATCATCAAATTTAAAATTATTTCGGTTCAAAGTTTTGAGGTGTTATAAATATGCTTAAAAATCTGAATCTATTTTAATTCACAAATTATCTAAGTATTAATATATTAATTTGAATTAATTATTATTATTTGACATTTATCTTAATTATTAAAAAAATCCAAATTCAAAATTTTGAACCATTTATAGAATATATCCATAAATTAGATGACTAGGATTTGAATTTTCTTAGAAACAATGTATTCTCTATTTTGTAATTTAGAGTCAGATTCAAATATTTGAATCTTCAATTCTCATAAATAATTCATATTTAGATAATTAATATTCGAGAATATTTATCTTTATCTGTGACAAATAATAATTTTAATATTTAAATCTATAATATCTAAATATATATAAAAAAAATAAATTGAATAACTAGAAATATCTAAATCTGCCCTATGAACTACTATCCGGTAAATTTACCTTTCAAAAGCATAATAATAAATATCAATTAAATTACCCAAAGTGTATCACTAAATTTACACATCAACCCCCCAAAAAATTAACATATTTAAAAACAATAATGTACGCACTAACCAAACAATATTGATGATAAAATAATTATTGTTATTCTTTAAGGTTTCGGATTCGAGTACTATGAATATTATGGGTGCAAGCGTTTAATGTCAAATGACTGAGAGTTATCTTTAAGCACATGTTTTCTTATAGTTATCCAGATTAATCTGATTGATGCAACATAAAATTTTCTAAAATTTTGTTGGAAACCATCAACCAAGTTTGCATGGGTGTCAATTATTCTTCTAACTAAACCTCAAAATACATTAAAAAAAAAACTTCATGCCGTGCTGCTTCACAACTGTTTCTTGTGTATGAGACCATCTATAGCAATCAAAACAAGTTCTCCCAATTTGAACACGTTGATATCATCTCCGGCAATCGGAGATATGGCAATTGGTCCGTCCTTCCTGAAAATATTATGGCAATCGATAACCCGATTCGTTCCATTTCTAACGAAGTCGATGGTATCGTAAAAAGCATTGTTCGAAGTAGCATTGCTGGCGCTCTGGAAATTAGCCAATGAACCATCGTAATCGCTTTGGCACACCTCGAGTCGCTGAATGGTGAGGCGGTCGGTCGACTGTTTAATTATATCAGGAAGCCGACGGAGGGTGTCCTGAATTTGAATGATCGAGAGTGAACTGGAGATCATTGCAAGGCCACGTAAGTCGGCCGTATCGGAACGAGGGTCACTGCCGAGAGTATTCATGCAAAAAGCATAGTCTTGGGACTGCTTGCAGATACTTTCTATCAAGGCTTGATCAGCACCGCCACCGTTGAAGGAGGAGCAGACGGTGAGTAGCAAGATGGTAGCCGCCATAGAAGGGGAACACTTCATGGTACCCATGTACTATAATTTTTTTGTTTTGGTTTGTGAATGAAGTGGGATAATTACGATTTCGTATTATAAAGGTTGAGGCCCATTTTTTCAGGTCTTAGTTTTTAGTATGCATTAATTAATGGAGATTTTCACAAGATTTTCATTGCACTTTTTTGTAAAGTTCTCATTGCACTTTATACTGTATTTATGTAATTTGATTCTGTTTGATTTCTTATCATGCGTGTAAAACTTTCTTAATATGGTTAAATTCCATAGAGTAACACAAGTTAAGCGATCTCATTGTTAAAGAATTTATTATTATTTCTTAAATTATTAATTTGAACATTACATATATAGGGATATAAGTTTTCATTGTCAAATATTCTATTCAGGCCCATCCATTTACTTGTGTGGACTGTGACATGTCACATGACCCCAAAAATTGGAGAACCACACACATGAATGTCATTTAGGTCCATCTATGTACAATTTTTGTGTCTTAATGACATTTTCGTTCAAAAGAAAAATAAATTTTCCGTATGATTCTAGGGAAAGTGGCAGAGAAATTTACAAACGAAGATTTTGACAATATCTTTAATCGTTTTTCATGATAAATTTTGATATAAAAAAAGAGATCGTAAATCCCTCATAATTTAAAATTTGACAAATTATTCTTTATTATAAAATATTTTAGGGATCTCATTTTAAAAGATAGCACATGACATGCCTTTCTTTTAGGACAGGTCTGATCTTATGTTGTAAGGTAAACTACGAGTTTAGTATTTAAACTATCATTTTTTTCATTTTTATACATAAACTTTTAATTTTTCAAAATCATACCTAACGTTCAATTTTTGTTTCATTTTAGTACCTTCCGTTAAAAACTTAATGTTAAGTTTTGAATTTTTTTAAAAAAGTTTAGGTACTAAAATGAATCAAAACTGATAGTTTAAGTACTAAACGCATTAAATTTTTAATGGTGGATACTAAAATGAAATAAAAATTAAACATTAGGTATGATTTTAAAATAATTAAAAGTTTATATACTAAAACATATTAAAACTAATAATTTAAATATTAAATATGTAATTTACCTTATATTATATTCATCACAAATTTATCAAAAGAAAAAAATAATTCCCCTGCAATAGAGATTAATTAGTGGGTAATTGGCACTTTAAATACAAAAATATTAAATGTATTTTTTATCTAGATGGGTTGTACTCTTTTCTTTCATATAAATTTATGAAATTTTTAACAAAATATAATATCATATAATTAAATCCTTAATAAAATCATATTTGTCAAGAAGAAAAAACATTAACGTATATTTCACATCACCATATATAATAATAGCTGCAAAACATTACAATATGGTCCGTTTCAGCAAACACTTTAATAACAAACACAACTCAATTTAGTACTATAGACTACACGACCTATGAGCTTTTAAAAACAAACACTTCCTTTTTTAACTTCTTCTAGTATTTCTACGCCTACTAATAGTCCTTCCCCTAAAACAGAGCTGTCCATGTTGTTTACTTTTAAGCCGCGGACGGGGCCGTCACATATGGGACAGCACCAGCTTCCGACAGAGCCACCAGCAACGGCTGCATCTTCACCGGCTCCACCTCCTCTCCGTCACCAACGGTTGGCTTCTTGTAATCAAGAGACTCGTCGTTGTAAATGTCCCACCATTTCTGAACCAGCATCTTCACGTCTTCCCTCTGCATGTTCTCCTCTTTCCCTGTGTACCTCCACGGCTTCGACCCCTCCGCACAGTAGTGAACAACCTTCAACTTGTCAAGCTCCACATTCTCGGGATGACGCCATAACATGGCGAGAACCAGGTTGTAGATCAAAGGGATGGGCTTGTAAATGTCTTTAAAGAACATGTTCAAAAAGTCCTGCTCGGCAAATGGGGTAGGTGGGACGACTTTAAGGGTAGCCAAGAGCTTCTCGTAGGTCTCGAGGCTGGGCTCGAACACAAACATGCCGGCGTTGAAGTAAAGAGATGGTGGCTGACCCATCTCCGCCGGCCACTTCACCTTATCAGGGCACTGCTGGCAGTAACCGATCTTCGCTTGCGGCGTGTGACTCCATGTCGGCTCGCAGAAACAGTCCATTACGGCGTAGAAATTCCCATCGGGCAAATTAAAGAGGTGATCGATGTTATCGTACACCTGAATATCACCATCCAGGTATATCAACTTACTGTACTCCACAAACTGCACAGTGCACCCACGAAATTAACACCGGTGACCGGACATTAATGGGAAAAGACCAAGCAAAGAACATATATATATATATATAATATATACTTACCTTCCAAATACGGAGCTTGGAGTAGTTGATGACGTAGTAAGCCATGGCGAACTGGGTCTGGTTCTCGGGCGGGTAAACGGGTTCGATCTTTCGAACGATGCAGCCCTGGTTCACCAGGATCCGCCTGTGCTCGTCGGGGACGTCGGGCAAAACGGCGACCACTAAAGGGTAAGCAGATTTCACCTTCCTTAACCCTTTGGCTAACCCTACAACGCCTTTCACGTATTCTCCATTGCCGGCCAAGAAGGTGACATAAGCTCGCTTGGGGAGGGTGACAGGCTTAGCCAACACGGCTTGTTTATCCCCGGGTTGAACCACTTCAGGAGCCATTGGATTGCTGATCTGTGAAACCGGGAAGAAGAGATCACCAAGTATAAGAGGACTGAAGAGAGCTCTTTGCAGGGCAAGATTTGCTGATGACTTGAGGGTGTTTATATAAGGGGTTTAATTCCAAAAAGCTTAATGCAAAATGTTTTGTTTCAGATGCAGGGTTTTGGTGAAAATTGGTTGTGTGCCGACACGTGTCCAACAAGATGATCAAACGGTGGAAATATTGATTACGAGAAAGTTCTCGATAGGGACGTAATTTACTGGAAGATGCCAGCTAGCTACTACAACAGTCGTTCATTTTTATTCTTAAAAGAATCTTTGGTGTTTTATAGAATTAATTACATTATATGTTATTAAATTATAATTTAAATTTTACATTAACTTTAAAATATTTTAAATAAATCTTCTCGATTAGGTTTTACCTAGGATGGATATGGTGGGGGTGGGGTTAGGTTTTAGGTACATGATTCGAAAATTTTAAACCCTCCATCTAAAATTTGATTCGAACCGAATTTAGTGTATTTTATTCGATCCAACTTTTGAGATAAAATATGACTCCGATCGATTTGATCCAACCTAAAATAATATAAAATTATTAATTTTATTCAATAAAATAGAGATCTAATTGAAAAATAATATAAAAAAGGAGTATTATTGCAATTATTTCTAAATATTTATATTATTTTTTTGTTCGAATCAGATATCTTTCATCCTAAACCCAAATTCGACCCGACCTAAGCTTATCCTCTAAAAACTCGACCTAAATTGAACCTAGTTTTTTTAAAAAACTCAACCCGACTAAATTGGGTCGAGTTGAAACCTGTTGGATTTGAGTCTCGTGCCCATCCCTAATTTTACCTTCAGTCCAACAATCAATTTATCTATTAAATATTATGTAACACCCCAACTCGTACTCGACCCGGATACGAGTCCGACATGCCACGTTGACTTTTTAAAACAATTTCCTTACAAGATAACAGAATATTTGAACTTATATTAATAAAATACAATCATATATTGTTGAATTATATTTCAATATAACAAATTTGAAAAAAATAAGTTTTCATGAACAGTTCTATACGGTATGAACAGTGATAAACAGTACCATGAACACTGCTACAGTGTACCGATGCACTGCTACAATATGATCTCTACCATTATTATTAATCCATTATATATTTCATATAACATAATACATACATGTATAAATACCATCATTATCATGATCTCTACCATTATCATTAATCCATTTACCATATGATATTGTACTTATCATTTCGGTATATCATATATCATTTCACAAAGAAACACACATAACATCATATAATAATGCAAAGACTTTTGATATCTTTTATAGGCCCATGTACATTATTGAGAACTTAAGGTATTCGAGTACATTGAGGTTGGGCACTATTGCTATCACCACACCTCGTATGGGGTCCCACTAGGGGATATGAAATTTTGTCCCAAATGACCTATGTATTGTATTTGTCCTGAAGGACCGCGTAGAACCCTCGACTCTTGGCATGCTAACTATACCACTAGCTCTCATATCATATAACATGGGCATTATTATTTATACATTTCATATCACTTGTTCTTTCTCTTCTGTCACATACCACATGTATGTGTAACCATATATCTCATATCATATCACATGTATCACAAGTGCATGTATTCATGTAGATCATTTCATATGGCTTATATCATTTCTCATTTGTTCATATAAACTCGCATGTCATATCATGTAACATATATCACATGTTGCATTTTCACGTAAGCATGTAAATCATGTAACATATAATAACATACATTCATTTCTATGTACTAATGCACACATAATAATCAAATAACATTTTAGAAGTTACTTCTTACCATAATAACTCCGTCACTGGCTCATCGCAAGCCAATGTTTGAACAATAACATAAGTACAATTTAAATTGCACTCACCTTAGCCTTGCTTTGATTCGATCCTAATTCTTTGATTGTTCTTGAACTTGTTTAGGCGCAATATCTACATAAACATAATTTCCGAGACGATTATTAGAAGCCTAAACCTTATAACTTGATGTTAATAACTTAAGCTAGTTTAATGAACCAAAATTCTATTTTTCCTTTAGGGGTGTATCGATGCACTATGGGTACATCGGTACACAAAATAGCTTCAAAATTCCCATGCATCGATGCCTACCTGTGTGCATCGATACATACTGAATAATTTATGGAAATTTATCCTTGATGCATCGGTACATGTTGAATGTGTACCGATGCACACTAGCCTGGAAATTCCAATTTATGCACGAAAATTACTTCATTCTAACTTAATTGTGTCATATTTCAACCCCTTTCATGTCCTTAACTCACATACACATGTTTAAACTCATTTATATCCATTTATCTCATCTTTAACCTTAATATCCTCTCCTCTATATGAACTTCAAGAATCATACCCAAATTTTCAAGATGCTCTCAATCCAATTCTATCACGTCATATCTCTTAATTAAGTTGATAACAAGTTAAATTTAGTTTCAAATTCAACTTATCAACTATTTTCCAAAAATTCACTTAAAATCGCATTCTCTTTAATCTTTCATAACTTCTTAATCTTTTGATTTTAAGACAACTTAAGCTTTCCTTAAGCTTAATTATCATCTATGGATCAAAACACATACTTTAAATCAACAAATAATCAACTAATTAGAAAACTTACCTTTGCAAACTTGGCTCCCTTTCTCTCGTATGATAAAGCAGAAGAAGAAGAAGAAGAAGATAACTCTCTTCCCCCCCCCCCACGTGATTCATTCATATAAAGGGAAAAAATATATTTCTTGTCAAATGACCATTTTGCCCTTTAATTCATTTGATAATTACTAACAACTTTCAAGAAATATTTCCAAATAAATCATTGAACTATTGAACTATTTTATTTTAAATCACCATATTCTGAAATTTTACAATTTAATCACTAACCCGTAGTTTGGGATGTTACATATTAATTTAAAATTAATACAAAATATATTTGAAATATGTACATCAAGTTTTAAATATGTTATATCTTTTTGTATGAATAATATAAATATAATACGTTAACAAAATAAAAAATAATCTTTTTAAAATTCAATGACTTTCGATTTTTACAGGTAAAATCTAATTATCTATACAATATTTGCATTATTTACAATTGAAGAGTGTGTTTGAGAAATCTCCTTATAGATAAATTTGATTATAATTAAATTTTATTATACAAACCACTCCAATAATACTCTTAAATTCTTCGTAAAGTAATAATTGGTATAATAAAGATATTATTTTGGATCCATATTATAAATATATTGGATTGGTTCAAACTTATATAACGAGTGCAATTATACTGTAAATTCAACAATTGGACTATTGAACTCGTTATTCAACTTCAATAGTAGAAAAGAGTATTATTTATTCTAAAGATTTTGATTTCGAATGATTGTTTCTGTAGGATATGTATTCCATTAAAAGTTAAAAAATATTTTGAATAAATATTATCTTATATAATCACCTCAAACTATTAAAAGAGCAATTATATTTTTTAAATATAAATCATAAAAATTATGAAAGTGTGATTCACTTATTATACTAGTGTAGGTGATCCCTTCCCTACTATTTATTTATTTTTTCAAGAAATTATTATTATTATTATTTGTTACAATTTTATACTATATATATATATATATATATATATATATATATATTATCGTCATTTTTCAAGTATAATAATTAATTAATTTTATTTTATTATTAATTTTATTTTCGAATACTTAAATATTTACGCAATGCTATTAGGATTTAAGTCTATTTTTATTAAAATAATTTATATTATAATTTAGATATATATAATATTATATACCACTAAACGTGACATCAAAAGTTTAAATGTAATTACATTATTCTTGTTAAACACGTCTAAATAATTAAAATGTTTTGTATTTAATAGGGTATTAACTTTTATTTCATGCAATTACATTATGGTGTCTAAATATACACTAAAATTTAATCTATATATTTTAAATATGCTCAATTTTTTATTCGAACTAAAATTTAATGATCTAATCGTGCCATTACATATTTGCAGAAAATTTTGTCAAATTATTTGACTGAATTAATGATAAAAGTTAACTTTAAAATTAAAAATACACCTTTCAAAGAGTAAGGCCAATGTAAAATTAAATAATAAAAGGACTAAACATGTAAAAGAACCTATAATATAAAATATGGGTGTTTATCGAGCGAGTCGATCGCGAGTTAGGTTGTGCTCGACTCGTGCTCATTAAAACAAATTTTTGCTCGACTCGACTCGTTGCTCGTTAAGTTCGTTAAAATTTTTCTCGACTCGTGCTCGTTAAAAAAACGTGTTGCTCATTAAGTTCAATGATCATTGCTCATTAAGCTTGATGTTTGTTGTTCGCCTCGTTGCTCGTTAAGTTGGTTGTTCGCCTCGTTGCTCGTTAAACTCATTGAAAATTTTACTTTATTTTCTTAATTATAGGTAAAATCTACTAATACCCTATAAAGAGTTTAATATAAGCATAAATTAATAAATTTAACCCAAAAAAAATTATCAAAAGTGTGTATGAAGCATTTTCAAAGTCTAAGTTCCAAAGTAACAATCCACAAATATATTAAAATAATAAATAGGGTTTGATTTTTTAGTGTAGTGAAATATTAATTAATAATTTAGTATTTTTTTTGTTTGTTAGAAAATTAATAGATTATCAATTTATCATCTTTTTTATTATCTATTAGTAATTTAGTAATTTTTTGAATGAAATAATTTTTTAAGATAACTACTAAAAACATTAACGAGTTGTTCGTGAACTTATCGAGTCGAATTGTACTTTACTCAACTCAACTTGCTAAGATCTTGAGTCGAGCTCGAGTCCAAATCAAGTCAGCCTGAGTCAAATTCTTATCAAATTTTAACCGAGTTAAATTCGAGCTACTCACGAACTTCTCAACTCATTAATTACTTCTAATATAGAATCTTCTCAAACGAAAAGAGAGTTTAAATCATGTGATTGGCAACTGGTTT